AGACTTGCATCATGTAAGGAGCTGATGAATGTCAGTGAAAAGGGGAACTTGACAGTCCCTTTCTGCCATCTGCCTCTCTTCCCTTCTGTGCTCCCAAGTACCTGGTGCTGGCTGCTGCCTTGATTGATTCATGATGACAAAGATAAAAGAAAAAAAAAGAATTATAGGCCCACTCTCCACCCTCCACCGACAAAAGGAGTGACCCAGTATCATTTTGCAGTGGATTGAATGGTACCCCCCCCCCCCGCAAAAGGTATACTCCCCTGCTCCCCACCCCGGAACCTGTAAATGTGACTTATTTAGAAAAAAAAGGTCTTTGCAGATATAATTAAGTGTCTTAAAATGAGATCAGCCTCGATTATGGGGGTGGGCCCGAAATCCAGTAATAATTGTTCTTATGAGACACACGGGGAGACCATGTGAAGACAGGCAGGGATTAGAGTTGTGCAGCCACCAGCCCGGGAATGCTCACAGCCACGAGGAGCTGGAAGAGGCAAGGAACCGTCTCCCCGAGAGCCTCTGCAGAGCGCACAGCCCTCCTGGCCCCTTGATTATGGACCTCTGGCCCTCAAAACTGAGGGAGAGCACAATCCTGTTGTTTTAAGCCACCAAGTTTGTGGCAATTTGTTTTAGCAATCCTGGGAAACCAGTGTAGGTTTCTCATTGCATCAATGGAAAAATGGGCCAAAGAAGGAAAAAAAAAAAACCAAAACAAAACAGGAGAAACCAGTGGATTTACATAGGTCTCGTTTCCTGAGCACTTACACCTGCCAGGGTTCTGCTCAACTTGGAGTGGCAGAGCTAAACCTGAACCTAGCAGGTTGAAGCCCAGAACTCAAGCTCCCAACCAGCTACCCTGTGCTTGGAGGAAGCGGCGGGAGCTTATTCGGAAGGGGAGACCGGAGGGGATGAGCGAAGCTAGATCTGAAGGAGAGTCCGGTGGGGGGGGGGGGGGGGATCTGAGAGACTGGGGCGCCAGCCATGGAGGTGGGATGAAAGTTCAAAGGATTTCCTTTTCATTATACCTATCTCGATGTATATTATTTTTCAATTACAGTTTACATTCGATATTATTTTGTATTGGTGTCAGGTGTACAGCGGAGTGGTTAGACTCTCGTATGCTTTACAAAGCGTACCCCTGCACTGCTATTTCAAGTACCCACCTGGCACCCTACACAGTTATTACAATATTATTGAACATAGTCCCTGTGCTGGACTTTACACCCTGTCACTGTTCTGTAACTACCAATCTGTCCTCCTCAACCCCTTCACCTCTATCACCCACCCCTCTCCCCGCTCTGGCAGCCATCGGTTCTCTGTATCTATGAGTCTGTTTCTGTTTTCCCATTATAAAAAGGATTTTTTGGTGTGGTAGGGAGGGGTGTTTCCTGAGAAATTTGGCAACGATTTGCATTTCTCTCCAGTTAAATTTTTTTTTTTTTTTTTTGGACACAACACTATGTTGAGACTTGCACACGTGGTACCTACATTTCATACGGGTTCCTTTCCCCCTCGTTTGACAGTCACTCATTGAGCTCTGGCTTATCTACCCTAATCTGTGCTCAGTGCTGGGCAGCTTGCAGATGAATGAATGAAGCGAGCTGGTCCTTGGGTTTGGACATCATCCTGTGGACGGAGGCGTTTCCACGCAGGGGACAAAGTAGGGAGAGAGAGAGAGAGAGAGCGCACCAACTCTGCCTTTCCCACTGGGCTTAACCTTGAGTCCCTGCCCTCTCTGACCGTCAGGGGGCTGTTGGCTAAGTGGAGGAACTGATTTTGGGTGGACTAGTGAGAATTAAAGAGCCACGCCATTTACTTAGCACGTCAGACTGAAACTGTCCCACTATGCTTTGCGGTGGGGGGAGGTGGGAAGGGAGTGGGAAATGGGGGACATGGAGTGATGCTGCCTTTCTTCAGACCTTTCATCTTCACGGCCCCTACAGAGCCCAAGGGTAGGCTTAGTCCTACACTATGGGCAAAATCACGTTCTGTTCAGATTTGAGACCCGCAGGAACAGGGCGGGGGGTGGGGGGATCACGTCTGATGTGGTTGTGTAGCCCTATGGTTAGGACTCCTGAGGAAGACACAGACCATGGGCAGAAATTGCCTTTAAAAACTCTCGGGAAGACCACACTGAAGGCTGCCATGCTTTCTCCCAGTCGGTGTAGTGCAGCTAGGGCTTCTCCGGTGCTGGAGGTTGTCACTGTCCAGCGGGGCAGCCGATGAAGACGTGGGCCAACTTTTGGAGGCCATATCATACAAAAACAGCAGCTGTTTAAGCAGTGGGCCCATGCTCGGGGCTGACAGGTGCTCAGGGCTGAGACTACTAAATGGCCCCCGAGTCTCGCCTGGAGAAACGGCAAGTGAAACCATGCCTGGCGCTTGCATTTATTTATTCTTTTCCCTTATTATTATTAATATTAATATTATTACTATTATTATTAGTCTTGGAGTCCCTGTCATTGAATGTACATACCAGCACTGCATACATTACCAGACTACACCACAGTGTAAATTTTCCTTGAAAGTGCTCGTCTTTCAGTGTGAGAGTTACGCCCTCTTGGCTGCTGAAGCGGGGCTTGTGGAAATCGGAGCACTTTGAGTCTCTGATCCTCTCTCAGAAGAACATTTGGCCCGTTTAAGTGTCCGTGTGGCTCTGCCGAGGGACCGCAGCCTCCCAGCCAACTTGGATCCTGTCCACAGTGGTCCAGAAGCCAATTTTCTGAATAAATCACAAAATTGTTCCAGAGTTGGTGTATTTACTCAAAAAGTCATCTTCTATGGCAGTGCGTACAGAATAGTTGTGGATACCCTTTCTATTTTGCGGTATTTTATGTTGTGTGGCATTTCTCAAAGTGTGCTCTGCGGAACACCAGGGTGGTGGGGTGTTCTGGGGAAAGACGGTTTCTTGGGCTGACTCCGGTTGACCACCATCCACTCATGGACGTACATCCACTCACCAGCTAAGTCTAAAGCAAGACACCTGGGTAACTTGGTATAAGGCAGCACTGGCTGAATGTGGGTGCCCAGGAGTCATCGTACTAGGTGCACTGTGGGGACCAGAAGCACAGGGTGGGGCAGGGCTGCAGGGGCCCAGGCCAGGTTTCTCAGGCCCCAGGACAGAGAGGACTTGGGGAAGATGGAGGAGAACACGACAGAGGCTTTTAAACTGTCCTGACCTGGATGGGACTAGAAACTGGCCAGGAAGTGACAGCATCTGCCCATGGTGCCACGAAGGGCTAGGAAAGGGAGCTTTGTAAGAATTTGGCTGATCACTTTCGGAGTTTGGAGGAAAATTAAGCCCTTCTGTGTTTGCACCCACTGGGCTCAAATACACAATAAACCTGTTCCAAGGAATATCAAGCACCCCTTCTATTTGAAGGTCTCTGTGGTGGCTTATGTAGTATCTACCAAATATTTATGTCTACTTGGAGTCTCAGAATATGACATAGGAAAGCATAGGGTCTTTGCAGAGGTAATTAATATAAGGATTGAGATGATTGTACTGGATTAGGGTGGTTCTTAAATCCAATGTAAGTGTCCTCATAGGAGATGGTCAAGGCCACGTAGGAGCACCCGCGGAGAAGGCCATGAGAGGACAGGGCCAGAGGTGCAAGCAGTGCAGCCACGAGCCAAGGAACACCTGGGGCCACCAGAAGCTGGAGGAGGTGAGGGAGATCCTCCCCGGGAACTTCAGAGGGGAGTGGCCTTGCCGATGTCTTGATTTTGGACTTCTGGCCTCCAGATCTGTGCGAGGATAAATTCCTGTTGTTTTAAGTGCCGCCGCCGCTGCCACCGCCCGCCGCCACCGCCCCCCCCCCCCCCGCCCCAGTTTGTGTCGATTTGTTATGGCAGCCCAGAAAACCAAGACCACCCTGATGCTAGTGTCATCCTTGGGCGAACAGGGTTCCCCATGCGGACTGAAACTGTGAATCATCCACACCCTGTTGATGAAGGTATAATGGATGCATGCAAACTAGAGAAGCGCTAATTTTTGCAATGGAGGTGGATAATTAGAGGCTGTGAGACGGTCTTGAAAGCTCAGATGCAGCATGGAAAGGGATGGAGGGAAAGGGGCAGTTTTAGGGACACTGGGGGACAGTAGGGCACAGGGAAGGCCCGCGAAGCCCACTACCCGCAAGAGTTAAGCCAACCAGCATAACTGTGAAGGCCAAGAGCAGTCCCTTGGGGAGCCCCGTCTTGGCAGACCTGAGAAAGAGCCGCTTGACAGGGGACGGGACTCTGCCAGGAGGGCTCCAGCAAGGACCGAGCCTCCAGGCCAGGGGCGCAGCCAGGCTGGCTCTGGACCTCAAGGGCCCCGGCAGCCATTGTGCAATGAACCGTCGCTACCTGGGGACAGCCCTGACACACTAGGGGACTCTTGGTTACTTCTCAGATGGTCATTTAACTTTCTCAGAGCTCCAGTCTTTGCTATGTGACCTTCCCCTACTGGCTCCACCTCTCTGCCTGTTTTCTCAGTTGCAAAGTGGGGGTAATAATTTGTCTCGTAGAGCATTATGTGGATTACATGGGATAACGCACCCATGTCGCTTCGCCCTGTTCCTGCCACACAGCAAATCCTCGCTTTGTTAGCTACCAGCACTGCGACTGCTACTGTGTTTATGACTTGGGTGCCTGCCCACCAGCTCTCACGTATTGAGCATTTACTATCTGCCTGATTTTACTTCTCATGCAGCTACAGGAGGAAGCCATTCTAAGTATTAGCATTTAATAAATGAGGAGACTGAAGCTGGGGAAGGACAGGACATTTGCCCAGAGTTACACCGATGGCAAAGGCAGGATTCAAATGCAAGGCCAGCCACATCCAGCCCTGAGCTTTTTACTGCTGCGTCTGATAGTATGCAGGGTGATTCTATGTGCTATGCAGGTGAAATTTTTACTCCTAATAGTTAAGTATCTATTTTATTATCTGTTAGAAAAATATAGGCTTCCTATTTCCAATAACGATATTAATTTTTTGTTTAAAATCAATTTATTTAGTGTTTGTTCTGGCAGTACATATATGAAAATTGGAACAAAACGGAGAAGATTAAATGGCCCCTGAGCAAGGATGACATGCAAATTCATGAAATGTTTCATATTTTCACACTGTTAGATGTCAATTATATCTTCATTAATTAAAGTACGCTTATTTAGCTGCACTATTTACAATATCTAACAGGTAGAAATAGCTGAAATGCCTATCAAAGGATGAATGAATAAACAAAATGTGGTATAATCATAAAATGCCATTATTCAGCCATAATTATTCATGCATGTTACATTGTGCATGAAGCTTTAAAATATTATGCTAAGTGAAAGAAGCCGGACACAAAAGACCACGTATTGCAGAGTACCATGTACATAGAATGTCCTGAACGGGCAAATCCATGAATGCAGAAGTGGGGCTAAGGGAAGGTGGGAACGGGGAGAAACTTCGTGATGGGTGTGGAGTTTTGTACTGGACTGATGTACACGTTTTGGAACTAGACAGAGCGGGTGGCTCTCCAACCCTGTGAACGTACTTAATGCCATCGAATTAGTCCCATTAAAATGGTTGATTTTATGTTATGTGAATTTCGCCCCACTAATAAAAACTTCAGTTTTCAAAAGGAAATTAATTTACTTCAAGAAAAATTAAAGAAAAATATGACGTCAGCTGTTGTGCAGGGGGAGTGCGGATATGGGGGAAATTGTGAAGGCGGCTTTCAGAACTTATGGCACCGTGTTCTCCACTAAGAGCGCAAGGCATCTCCTCCAGGGCCCAGTCTGGCAGCACCTGCGTCTGGCCCTTCTTTGTTTTTCCCCCCTGCAGCCAGCTCAGTGCTTAAGAAATACTTGTTGAGCTCAGCTCGGCCCGGCTTGGTTAATTGAGTTAAGGCGAGCTGAGTCGTACTGAGTGCACCAGCTGGCCGGCCTGGAGGAGATCCAGCTTGAAGATGTTAAGAATCACACTAATTCAATAAGCTCCTGCAAGGTAGCCTAAGTCATGAGACCGTGTGCCTTTCTTTACCTGACTTACCTGTGTTTGCTGGCACCTTGTGAGCCATGCCACTGTGTAATATAATAGTTGTATCGCTGGAATCCCCTGTGTGTGTTTGCTGAAGACACTGGGCAAGAGAAGTAAAAAGGGAAACACAGTGATCCTCAGGCTCAGCTGGAAGCCCCTGAGCAGTGGAAGGAAGGGCCTAAGGAAGCAGAGAACTTTCTGTCTGTGTGCAGATGCAGAACAATCTACATCTTTCTCGTCCAAAGCACTCACCATGTGTCTAGTGTCACAACAGAACTCAGAGCCCATTCTCTTGACTCTGACTGCCTGAGCCTGAGCCTGGCTCAGAACCTCAGAGAAACTGACTCATCTCTCTGCACCTTTGCCTTCTCACCTGTAAAAGGAGGGTAAGAATGGTACCTGCTGAGTGGGGTTACTGGGTGGGGTCAGTGAAATGGAATCTATCGAGCGCTTACACGCAGTTCCAGGAACATGTAAACACTCAGGAAGGTTAGCTGTGATGAATGGCGTGACCAGCACTGCAGAAGGGTGTGTTTGAAAGATGTGGCGGGGCTGGTGCAGCTTTGCAGACCCGGGAGGGCAGAGCAGAACGGTTGTTTGTAAACATCCTAAACAGAAGCACATGGCTGACTCATGTAAGTTCTGGAATGGTGATGTAAGCCCCGGGTACAAGCAAGCGGGGAGTAGCAGGAATCTCGATGTTTTTCTCCATCCTGGCAGGATCCTACTGCCTACAGAGTGTCCCCAGCAGCTGCCTGCCTGGTGCAGGGAACCCCAAGACTCGAAAAAAGCTGCAAAAGCGTTTCCTCTTTCTTTCTGCTCTGGGAGGCCGCTCCATTAGTGTTCAGATCTGCGTCCCTGGCTGGTAAACCAGGGATGTAGCTGGGTCTGCATGTGGTGGTCCCTGACCACAGGCCTCCGACCCGCCCACAAGGCGGCACGTGGGAAGGGCAGGACGTGGGCCTGCAGGACACGATTCCTCAGACTCGCTCTGCACTACGCTGCTGCCTGTGTGGCCTTGGTCAGGTTCCTGCATCCCTTGGAGCTATTGTTCCTCATTTATAAGTGGGTGAGAGGACAATGGAGCTGTTTGTTTGAAATAAAAGTGTATAAAGGAAGTGAATATAAAAACAGATACAAGAATTGCTGCATGGTTGAAATAGGGGCAGGGGGATTCCTAACAGCCACTGAGGTTCTGTCACCTTCCTCCTTGCTCACCTCTGCTGTCCTCCTCCCTCCAGCAGCTCCTAAGATGCACATTTTGAAAACTGTTGGCTAGAATGAATTCATGGGGCAGGCATAGGGCTGGAGTCCCAGGGCAGAACGGAGCATGAGGGGGGCCCAGAGGTGGCCTCCAGCTGCACGGAGCAGGTAGGTGGCAAATCTGTGTGCAGGCCTGCGTGTCCTGCACCAGCTGTGTGACTTGGGAGTGTAGGACATCAGGGTTTTCTGCCCGCCCAGCATCCATTCCTCCTGCTGGTAAGAGCTCCCCGATATTCTTTGGGGAACCACTCAGTCTCACTTGGTTCATGTGGTTTGGCTAAGCTTTGGAGGGGAGCATGTGACCGGGACCTGGACCAGCAGATCATTCCATCCCCCTTGCCATGGTCATTGGTTTGGCAACGGGCAGCTGAATCTCTCAGAGACCAACAGACCTAACCCTGGGACTTCACGGAAGTAACCAGGAAAAAGCCTGGGTTTGACTCTGGGATGACGTACAACAGGTGGAGAGAGTCAATCCCGAAATGAAACCAGTGCAGGGAAAAACATAGCCAAGGAGATGGGGAGAGGCGGATTCCTGAAAACCTAACTGAGAGCCTAGACGCAGCCGTGCCTGAAGCTCATACAGCCCTTGCTTCTCAGTCAAATAGTCCAGTGCGTTTTTATTCTGACTCCAGTCCCCTTAAGTTAGGAGTCTGTCACTTTGCAACGGAAACCCTATGACTAATACACAAGAACAAGTTATCTCACCCCTTTAGTTTCAGTTTTCTCATCTGCTAAGTGTCTCTAAAAATCTATAAACCTTACCTTTAAGTGGATCTATAAACACATACATTCTATCACAGCGGCAGTAGCAAGACATTAGCGAGAGTGGTAAAGTATTTTGAATATTTATTAGTTCTCAGGAAAGCAAAACAAGGGTTGGTTACTATCAGGCCACTTTATTCTCTAAATGAGGGTGGGGGTGCAGCAGACAAATACGTAAGTGCTCATTGCAAATGGGAGCGGGGAGGCAGGAAGAGGCCACGTGGTAACGGGAAGATGCCATGGGGAGCGCAGTCAGGCCTTGACTTGGGATTTTTCATTTAGGTGGGAGGAGATGTTGGCAGGGGGCCCTGGTTTCCACACTTCTGCAGGTGGGTCTGAGCCCGAGGAAACTCCCTCAGTCATGTACGTCCCCTGGCTCTCGAGGCCAGGGAGAATGTGGGGGAGCAGTTGAGAGGGATTTGTCTTAGAGCAGAGTGTTCGGAGGTCCAGGCTTTACAACTATGGACGAACTCCCAGCAGACCGCTGTAGTTCAACTTTATGTGCATGGCCACATCTCCCCTGGACAGATAGCCTGGTCTTCTGTGGCCCAGGGGAGCCCTGGAGACTGCCTCGTAGGACCCCATTGTGGTCTGCCCAGGAGCCCTTGAAATCGAAAGCCCTGAGCTCCCCTTGTCACAGCCCTTGCACAGAAATACCACCGGGGGGATTTCCCACGGAATTTTTTGCAACCACTTGAATGTTTCATTTCCCATTGTTTGCCAGCCCCTCTTGGAGCCTCAACTGTCAAAGCAGCAGCAAACACAGGCTGCTTTTCCCCCAGGATCCCACAACGCTCGCTCTCACTTCCTCTCCACGTTGGGAAGCTGGAGTTGGCAGGATATGATCCGCTCGGCCAGGGAATAAGGTCTGTTAGTCAGCTAGTGAAGCAAGTCAGCGGAGGGAATACCTGCTCTACCCAGCCCACCCTGCTGGGGCAGAGCGGCTCCGGGCCGTCCCCCTAGTTGTTAGTGTAACCGTGGTGACTAATAATTATATTTCTAGCAAGAGACCCCTCCCACAGATTCAAAGCCCCTGACCGAAATATACGAGGCAGCTGTTAAATTTTTGTTTTTTAAAATATAAACTCAAATCATTAGTTTTCTGGCCAAGCATATTTTAATGAACTTGTAAGTTGTTTTCTATTTATCTGTGTTTAGAGAAGATCATCTTTATTGATTGATTGAAAACATCTGCTTTCGGCATGCCTTGGGCTGGGCATTTGGGGGACCCCGATATGAATAGGGTGTAGCTGCCTGTCTATAAGTAGCCCGTGATTTAGGGAGGCATAGAGATTTCAAGGCAACTTGGGATACAAGAGTCACTGGAAGTTTATTCGAGGGATGCAGGTCTGAGGGGTGAGTAGGAGTAGCCAGGTGGACTCGTCTGAGATCTGTCACCAGCTGGTACTGTTGAGTCCCTAGGCACTAGGACAAGGCGGGGCCCATGTGAAATAGCCGGATCCTGTGAAGGGAAGGAATAGTGAAGATACCTGTACACACCCCTTCCCTAGGACCCACCCTCTGCGTGGCAGAGATGGCTCTGATGTTGCACTTATTCATGTAGCCATTCATTCATTCATCCATCCACCAAAGCCACAAATATTTACCGATTTCTTTAAGCTGTGCCAAGTAGAGGCTATGTGCTAGGGATACAGAGGTGACCAAAATCAACCTGGTTCCTTTCCACCTAGGGTTTCCATCCCGGCGGGGCAGACAGCCATTAAATAAACACCTATATCAAATAATAAGGAAATACAGAACAGACAACAAGTCAAGGTGATATACATATGAGAATCTGTCGGCCCCTCATTTACTGACTTCTCACTTTATACCAGGTGCTGTGGGGGCTACAAAGTTGGGCCAGCACACCTTGTGCAAAACAACCCTGAGGACCGGCCAGAACTCCTGACAGAAAGAGGTCGGAGAGTGGTGACAGCGGCACTTTCCTGGCACTTTTGACACCCACGGGCACTCTGGGTCCTGGATCCTCAGGCTATTTTTTTTCTTTTTTCTTTTCTTTTCTTTTCTTTTCTTTTCTTTTCTTTCTTTTTTTTTTTTACAATGACAG